GGGTTTCACCATGTTGACCAGGATGGTCTCGATCTCTTGACCTTGTGATCCACCCGCCTCGGCCTCCCAAAGTGCTGGGATTACAGGCGTGAGCCACCGCGCCTGGCGGTTTTTATATTTCTTAAACATTACAATTCTATAAAATAATTGTGCTGTTGATTACTGGCCTCAGAGGACTCCGTGAAATTGCTTATAAAATCAATATAATCAGGCCGGGCATGGCGGCTCACGCCTGTAATCCCAGCACTTGGGAGGCCAAGGTGGGAGGATCACCTGAGATTGGGAGTTCGAGACCAGCCTGACCAACATGGGGAATCCCTATCTCTACTAAAAATACAAAAATTAGCTGAATGTGGTGGCAGGTGCCTGTAGTCCCAAGTACTTTGGATACTGAGGCAAGAGAATCCCTTGAACCCGGGAGGCAGAGGTTGCAGTGAGCTGAGATCAAGCCATTGCACTCCAGCCTGGGCAACAAGAGCAAAACTCCATCTTAAAAAAAAAAAAATTCAGTATAAACAGACCATGAGCTCTTACTGGCCATAGTCTTATGACAAGGGTCAACAAACTTTTTCTGTAAAGGCCCAGATAGCCAGTATTTCAGATTTGCAGGCCACATTCTGTCACAACTAAACTCTATGCTCCTGGCACATCATGACTCCTCAATGAATGTTGAAAAGAAATGAACTCAGTCACTATGCAAAACAGTTCAGCAGTATCTCATGAAGATGGACACTTGTGGGCCGGGCGCAGTGGCTCACACCTGTAATCCCAGCACTTTGGTAGCCCAAGGCGGGTGGATCACGAGGTATGGAGATCGAGACCATCCTGGCCAACATGGTGAAATCCCGTGTCTCTAAAAAAAAAAAAATGGACATTTGTTAGTCTTTAGCAACCCCATTCCTAAGTATTTATCCAAGTAAAATGAAAACTTGTGTTCCCACAAAAATCTGTATGCAAATATTTATAGGGGCTTTATTTGTCCTCAAAACAAAAGCAAACAATTAAAATGTCCTTCCACCAGTGGATGAATAAATAGTGCTACATTCATGTAGCAGAATACTACTCAGCAATAAAAAGGAATAAACTACTGATGTAAGCAACGCTGTGACTCAAAAGCGTTGGAAAAGGGAAAATTATTGCTGAAGAAGACAGATTGGTGGTTGCCTGGGACTGGGGGTGGAGGGGAGTTAACCTCAGGGGGACACTCAGAAGCTTTTAGAATGATGGAAATCTTGATTGTGGTGACTACACAATTGTATGCTTTTGTCAAAACTCAGTCAAACTGTGCACTAAAAGGATGAATGTTGGCTGGGGGCAGGGGCTCACACCTGTAATCGCAGCACTTTGGAAGGCCAGGGCAGGTGGATCACCTGACATCAGAAGTTCAAGACCAGCCTGCGCAACATGGTGAAGCCCCATCTCTACCAAAAATACAAAAAATTAGCTTGGCGTGGTGTTGGGTGCCTGTAATCTCAGCTACTTGGGAGGCTGAGGCATGAGAATCTCTTGAACCTGGGAGGCGGAAGTTGCAGTGAGCTGAGATTGTGCCACTGCGCTCCAGCCTGGACAACAGAGCCAAACTCTGTTTCAGGAAAAAAAAATATATATATATATAGAGAGAGAGTTTCTACATTGCATGTTTCCAGTTGTTCATCATTTATTTTCGCCTTGAATCCCTGAGCCACAGTAATGCGTCTTCTGTCCCCCACCATTTCATTCTCTGAAACTTTCCTTGTCATAGTCAGCAGCAACATCCTTCACTTTGCCAGACCCCATAGTCAAATCTTAGATCTTCCTCCAGTCAACCTTTTAGCAGCACTTGACATTTGTAGATCTGTGCCTTCATTTATTCAACTATAAAATGGGCATAATACCTACTTCACAGAGTTATTGTGCATATTAAATGCTTAATTAAGGCTGGCCTCAGTGGATCATACCTGTAATCTCAGCAATTTGGGAAGCAGAGGCGGGTGGATCACTTGAGATCAGGAGTTCAAGACCAGCCTGGCCAATACAGTGAAACCCGATCTCTACTAAAAATACAAGAATTAGCTGAGTGTGGTGGCGGGTGCCTGTAATCCCAGCTGCTCGGGGGGCTGAGGTAGGAGAATCCCACCACTGCACTCCAGCCTGGGCTTCACAGTGAGACTCTGTCTCAAATAAATAAATAAATGCTTAATTAAAATACTTAGAAAATGTTCTGCCGTCATAAATATTAGTCAGTGTAGCCAGGCGCAGTGGTTCACACCTGTAATCTCAGCACTTTGGAAGGCAGAGGTGGGTAGATCACTTGAGGTCAGGAGTTCAGGACCAGCCTGGCCAACATGGTCAAACCCCGTCTCTACTAAAACTACAAAAATTAAGGAGGATCTGGGCCAGGTGCCAGATACTGGGAATGGCAACTGCAGCTCCCTGAGCACTCTCTATGCAGAGATGGGGATCCCAGACATGAGGAGCCTTCTCATGGTCACCAGCCTTTTGGCTGTGCTGTTGTGGGGGGCCGGTGTAGCCCCAGCACCCAAGGTCCCTGTCAAGGTCCAAGTCAAACACCAGCCCTCAGAGCAGGATGCAGCAAAGGCCTGGGGTGCCCGTGTGGTGCAGCCAACAGAGAAGGACAGCCAGCTGGTGGGGGTGCTCCCCATCCAGAAGCCGAAGCTCTTGGCTGCTGAGGAGAAGCCACCAGGCACGAAGGCCTGGGTGGAGACCAAGGACATCCTGGGCCATGTCCTGAGCCCCCAGCAGGTTCCTGAGCCCAGCCTTGACAGCCTGTACCACCCTCTGCCTAAGGAGGACCAGGGCGAGGAGGGGCCCTGGTTGTGGGTGATGCCAAATCACCAGGGACCAGAGGAGGACCAAGACCTCCTCTACCACCCTGAGTAGAGCTCCAGGGGGCATCACTGTCCCCTCCCTGTTCCAGGGCCCAGGCTGTTGGGACTGGGACCTTCCCCACCCACCCACCAACTAGACAAATAAACCCCTGCAGGCCAAACACGGTGACTCATGCCAGTAATCCCAGCACTTTGGGAGGCCAAAACCAGCAGATCACCTGAGTTTAGGAGTTCGAGACCAGCCTGGGCAACATGGTGAAACCCCATCTCTACTAAAAGTACAAAAATTAGCCAGGTGTGGTCATGGATGTCTGTAATCCCAGTTACTTGGGAGGCTGAGGCAGGGAATCACTTGAGCCCAGGAGGCAGAGGTTGCATTGAGCTGAGATTGCGCCACTGCATGCCAGCTTGGGTAACAAAGCAAGACTAAATAAATAAATAAAAATCAGCCAGGAGTGGTGGCAGGTACCTGTGGTGGCTCACGCCTGTAATCCCAGCACTTTGAGAGGCCAAGGTGGATGGATCACGAGGTCAGGAGTTTGAGACCAGCCTGGCCAACATGGTGAAACCCTGTCTCTACTAAAAATAAAAATTAGCCTGGCATGGT